TCCTGCGGGAGGCCCGTCCTCAGCCCGTCTCCCCCGCAGTTAAAGCCCCTGTGGGTGGGAATCTGGCCAGGAGCCTGTCTGACCGTCTGGGCGCATTTAAGGGTCATCGTTCAAACAATCGCTCGCTTTCTCTTCCAGCGACCCCGCCGCTCCCCGGCCTGGCGGAAGCCGCTCTCCCAGGAAGGCGGGTGCACCGCCGCGAGCTGGCAGCAGAGGGCGCCCGCGACCAACGCTCTTGGCACCAGGGGTCCCTCTGGGGCTGGGCGGGTCGCTAGCACCCCTGAAGCTGCACTGACCGCTGAGAGCCTCTGGGGGGGCCTGGGCCTGGGCCCAGTCAGTGTGGTCAGAGAGGACTGTGTGCCCAGCACCGTCACGTGGGATATGTCCACGGAGGGGTGAAGGCTGCCCTTCCCTGGCTGGGAAAGGGTTTGGTCGCCAGGTCTACCCCCTGACCCCCCCACCGTCTGGCTTCATTCCCAGCCCGCCTCCCTGCCTGCTGCGGGGAAGGGAGCCTCTTTCCACTGCGCGCCCCCTCCAGACCCCCCAGCGAAGCCCTGTTAATCCCGGACTGGGAGTTTCTCCTGGGAAAAGGCATTATTGGCTCACTGCCTGAAGCCTTGAGATCATTTGGGGGGAAGGGTTCCCCAGAGCCTGAACCCCAGTCTTTTGAATTATGTCAGTTGTGACAAACTATCATTCACCGAGGATGGATCTGATTTTTGGAAGCAGCCAAAAATCGTCCAGGGCCAAATCTATAGACAAACCTATTAAACAGTAGATGGACTAAAGCTGGGGGTGTGCAAGGATGAGCAGGGGGCCTGGTGTGCGGTGGGTTCTGGGCAGGCAGGGCGGGCGTGGGTCTTGGTCATGCGGCAGTTGCTGTAGTTACTGTTATTTAATGAGTTTTTAATGTAGGACCATGAGATCATTTTTCTTCAGTGGCCTCCAAACCAGTTCTGAAGACAAATGTAAAAGAGAACCATCCAAAGAAAACATCATTGTGCTAAAGATCTTGAAAATTTCAAAGCTAAATGTGATGTGTTTGCCCAATGTGTTTGCACATTATTAAAAACCACCATTCTTGTTATTTTATATTTTCTCGGTGTATATCCCAATCCTCCATCTGCAGATATTTCTTGGGCACAGAGTATAAAGTTGGCTGAGGACACAGGACCAAAGGTCCTGGACTTGAGGAGACTCGCCCTGCACGGCAGTGAGAGAGGCTGAGTCCCTCCCACTGCCACCACGTGTGTCCGGGGACAGGTCACTGAATCTCCAGTCTCCAGGCCTTGACTTCTTCATCACTGTGATGGACACAAGCCCTCTCCCCTCCCTAGTTCTCCCAGGTGGATTGGCACCACAAACAGTTAGGCACTTTGCAAACTCACAAGTTCTGTAAACAGCATTTCTTACCATTCCTGGGTGCTGGAACCTTCTACTTTTTCCCAATTGTAAGTTCCCCAAAGGCAGAGATGTGCCTCAACTCCTCTGCTCACTGCCCACTGTGCCGTGGAAGAGCCAGTTGGCAGATAGTGGAGACCTTACACCTCCTGTTAACGCTCTGCCCAAGGCCGCTTTTCCGGCTCCTGGACTTGTTCTGGGACTCACTACTGCAGCAGGCTGCCAGCTCTCAGGGCTGAAGCCAAAGGCACCAATCCCAGGAAACAGCCCCTGAATGCCGACTTTGCACTGGGCACTCTGCTCAGAGCTGCTGGAGAGACAGGGCGGAATTGGACATGACCTGTGCCCTCAAGGCGCTACAAGTGAAGTGGATAGTATTGACAGCTAGTCAACTGCGCAAAGCACAGTGTAGATGTGTTTAAAATGGAAGCACAAAATAATGGTAAAATCACAAAGATGAGCGATCAGGAAAAGAAATGAGGATGTGGCATTTGAGCTGGCCTCTTAGGGTCAGTAGGACTCGGATAGGCACAGCCGGCTCGGAGGCTGTGCCGGGCGGAGAGGAGAGCCTGGGCAGAGACAGCGGGCTGCTGCTCAAAGAGACCGACTGGCGCTTTCCTCCTTGGGGCCTGTGGGGCGGAGCTTGGCCGCCCTGCTCAGAGGCCTGCGCTTACCCCAGAACTGATCACCATAGACCATCACAGCTGACGCGCCCGGTGAAGGGCTCAGACAGGCCATCTGGGCTCATGCTGAGCAGGGAGCAGGGTGACGGGTGACGTTGCTGAGGCTGTCGCACAATTGTCTCATTGATTTCCATATCCACCATCTGGGGAAGGTAGGGCACCACATTTCACCAATGGGGTGTAAACATGGGGGGTGGAGGCTGATTTGTGGGGAACTTGCGGGCTGAAGAATAAATGCGTGGGGAAGCAGTTGCTGTGGGAGGGGCTTTTCTGTGCTGTCCACGAGTTTCTTTTCAGTAAAGGAATCCCATAGAACACATTTGGATTAATAATAATAACCAAAGTCAGCTGAGAGCTCCCTGTGTGCTATGCATAGAGCGTCTCGTGCCGTTCTCTTGGCAAGCCCCTGAGCAGGGACTAGTTCTCCTCCCAGGGCACAAGAGGTTCTGTCACTTGCCCAAGGTCACTCAGTGATGGGAGAAGAGATGAGTGGAGGCCAGCTGGGCTGACCCAAGATCCTTGCTTATCACAGTGGCACCTCTCTGCACAAGTGCCACCACGTGCTGTGGAACACAGGCTGCAGCTCCAGAACCCTCCCCTGTGCACGGCCTCAGAGCTCACACAGGCGCCTGGGCACCGAGTGAGCACAGATGGGTGAGTGGGGTGGCTTATGTCCACTTTGCTGATGAAGATACAAACTGGAGTAAAAGTGTTAAACCAAAACTAGAAGCCAGAGTTTTTAAATTCCTTATGCAGCACCATGGGTGATCCTAACCAGGCTGTGGCATGGAATGTTCTGGTAATCTCAAAAACTGGAGATTAAGTTCTAACTACAACTCACCTCTCAGAAGAAAATAAAATTTGACTTTTGTCCATTTTCTATGCCAGGCACTATGATAAAAGTCTTGCACATGTCATCTTATATAATCCTCACAGGACTCCTAGGGCACAGGGTAAAATCATCCTATTTTACAGATCTGCTAATTGAGGCTTGGTGAGACGATGCCCATCGTGAACGGCAAAGTCAGGACACAAACTCAGGCATTTTTTGGGCCGAAGCATATGCTCTTATACTGGATTTTATGTATCTCTTAATCTTTTTGTCCTTATAAGGTGGGTGTTATTACCGATGTTTACCACTAAGGGAAGGAAATTAGATCCAGAGAGGTTTAGCAACTTCCCCCAAACACAAAACTGCCTGCTGGCGGAGCCAGGAGCCAGGCTCTGAGTGGCTGGGCCATAATCCAGACTTTGTTCACCCCAAAGCCTTGGGGCCTGGCTCTGGGAGAACCCCACAGACACAGGCTGAGTCCCTCAATTTTGTTACCTGCAGAAGTCAGTCCTGGTAGTACGTGGTCGTGGGACTCAGAAAACGTTAGTCGGCTTAGTGGGACAATCTGCTATCTCCCAAGCTGACTCTTCCTGGTAAGGCCACCTGGAGGAGGACGTTCTCTCTGTTCAGAAGCTTCCGGAAACTACTACGGCAGACTGAACATGCACTCAGTTGCTCATCTGGTGGTATGAGACTGGAAGGCGGTGGCCTCTGGGGCCCCAGGTGTCATGGAGCAGCCCGGGAAGAGCTGCCTGCCCAGCTCCTGCCCAGCTCAGTGGGCTCTGTGGCCGCAGTTCTGCGAGACACACCATCCCGCTGGGCCTTCAGCTTCTGCATTTGGCTCCTGGCGAGAGCTGGGCTTCTCTGAGGCAGGGATCAAAGGTTGGGGTGACACTTGGTTACCACAAATGGGAATCTGCAAGCTACATGTCACCTGCAGGGCAGTTGAATATGTCCAGTGAGTTATGTTAGTGGAGGGAAAAGATCGGTAGGGGGGAGGCACAATTAAATTTTAGTCTCTTCCCGCACCAATCATTTTCATCATAGTCCACAATAAATGCAGATTAAAGGGAAAAAATCAAAATTAAGGTTTTAATTCCATTGTTTCATGTTCAAAGCTAAGGGCTCCCTTAACTTTTCCCAGGAATAAAATCATTTTAATTTCTCCAAAACTGTATGATCACTGATGGATATATTTGGACTGGAGAGTTAGACCTGGGATTTTCTGAAAGGATAAGCTGTTGATGAGGGATGAGGCAACTGCCATCCACAATGCACTTTAGGGGATTATTTCCAGTTATGTAGAACCCAATTCAACACAAACATTTACTGTGTGCCTACTGCATGCCAGACCCTGCCTGGGTCAGTTCTGGTGGCAGAGAAGGTAAGCTGGACTGCCACGTGTGGTTGTTCAGGTTGTACACTCTACAACCCTAGCAGGCACCTCGTAAGTCATAGCACAAATTTGTTTATCTGCCGATGGCAGGAAGGTGACTTGAAGAAGATGGGCTGTACGGGCTGGCTGTGTCATCAGTTAGACACAGTTCCTACCCTCGAGGAGCTCTCTGTTCCAGCAGACAGCAGGGTTCCCAGACCACTAGGTCATCGGCTAGAAGCTGGGGGAGGCGTTCTCTCTTTCCCTTTTAAGAACAGGCTCCGTAGGGTTAGGTAATGATGAAAAACAAATTTGGTGTTCTCTGGTCTTTTTGCTGTTATCGCTGCTCAACGAAAGAAAAATCCATTTCTTTGTTACTACCTCCCACCAATTCCCAGGATCCAAGAATCTTCCCCCATCAAGAGAACATCTTCCCTTGGTCTTATACTGAAATTCTTCCAGTCGGGACAAGGTGATCTGTACTCATTATTCTTAGGAAGAAACACAAAACGAGAAGCCCAGGCTGACTGAGTGTCTGTCCCCAGTCTCTCAGGGGCTGCCCCGGGGTAAAGCCGGCTGTGCCCCACTTGGACTCGGGGTATCTAACTGTAGGACTCATTGTTTCAGGGCACCAGCCCCCACCGCTGGGGTAACTCCCTTGCAGCACAAAACACACCCCATGCTCCAAGCAGTGCCAACATCATATATATTTATTATTCATTCCTTTGCTTTCCATGGCAAGTGAAAAAATAATTTAAACCAATTATATGTACAGAGGCTTGGTTAGTTTTCCCAAGAACTTCCAGAAAGATCCCTGGCCCCTTAAATAGCAAAGAAAGGTTACCTTTAATGTCTGTACAAAACTCCACCTATAAAAGTCTCATGTGTAGAAAGGTTTCTTTATTGTAAGCATGACATTTTGGGAACAGGAAGGGGTCAGGGTGGGGGGTGGAGGATCATGTGCGCGGCGGGGGTCCACCCGCACCGGCCCAGGGCGCCTCCTGGCGGAGGCCGGCTGCAGGCTCAGGTGATCTGCAGCGGGGTCTCCAGCATCTCCATGAGGAAGGTGTCGATGGGCGTGTCCCCGATGAGCTTGAAGAAGAACAGGTGCTCCAGGCACTTGAGGCCGATGGAGCGCAGGGCCGGGAGGCGCAGCAGCAGCTTGGCGAACCTGCGGGAAGCCGAGGCCCGTTAGGCAGCGGGGCTGGCAGCTCGTTTGCTCTCCAGCGCCCCGCGATGGAAGGGAGGGCCCGGGAGGGAGGCGTGGGGGGAGGGGGGCGGGAGAGACGGAGCCGCGCGCTCCGCAGCGGGTGGAGGGCAGGTTGGGCTCCTCGCGGGCGCAGGCCGGCCCTGCGACTGGAGGATCTTCACCCCGGGACCACGTGCAGGCAGTGCCGCAGCGCCGCCTCCAGCCGGGCGCCTTCCACCCTCCGTGCCCGGCTTCCGCGGACCCCGACGGGGCGCCAGGACGGTGGGCCGCGCCGTCTGAGCCCCCTCGGCGCCGGATGCGTGCGCTCCGCAGCTGCAGAGCCTGTGCCTTGGGTCGGCAAGGAGTAGCTGCACACAGCAGCCCCACTGCGTGGGAGACGGTGCACGCAAGCGCGCTCACACGCACACAGACTCACGTGTGTGCGCATGCCCTCGCCACGGTCACTCACCTGCACAGTCTCACCCATGTATGCACACACATACATGTGCCTCACACGTATGCACACACCCTCACCCAGTCACACACAGCCTCATGTGTATGTGCACACTGACTACTGTCACGTGCCCTCGCAGCCTCTCACGTGTGTGCACACACCACGATCACTCATGCATACACACTCAGCCTCACACATATGCACAGCCCTCACCAGGGCCACACACACGTGCCTCACTCATGTGTGCATACATCCTCATCATAACACACGCCCACGTGCACATGCACACCCACTGCTCCTACAGTACACACTGTATGCACACGCGTGCTCATGCACACCCTCACACACAGAGCCTCATGCACACACACATGTGCCTATACACTCACACATTCTGAGCTCTCAGATGCACTCATACACATGCATGTGCTCACACACCCTCACACACACGTATACACACACACATTCTTCTATAACTAAGGACCTTGGTTGTAAGGTTCACCAAGGAAGAGGTCAGCGCACAAAGACTCACCTCACGTCAGCAGAGCCTTCCCAGGCCCCACAATCTGCCGCATTTCCCTGCCTGCTTTCTGGCCCCTCTCCGACCCTCAAAATCTTTTTGCCAATATAAATTTCATACATAATATTATTCTAGGTAACTGGAAATCAAGTAACCTCACTCACCACTCCCAATAAGAAGTTCAGGAACCCAAACTGCATCAGACACTATGGCCTTAAATCAGAGATGTCTGGTCAGGCTGGACCTTCAGTAGGAGTCACAGCATAATTTTACACGAAGGTTTCAAATTGGAATTGTAATACTCCTTGAAAATGAATGTTCTTCTATATTTATGCCACAGGAAGTTTTAAGGAAATGGGATGTCAGAAAATAAAGTGGCACCATCTAAAAAGGTAGGAGTTACTTCTCTCTCTGGAAAAATTAAAGAGCTACACATAGACCAACACAAACCTTCGAAAAACCTTCGGTTGTAAGGCCTGGGTGCCCCGAATGGTGTCGCCAAACAGGAAGAGGCGGTTACCAAAGAGTGAGGAGGCTGAGCCTCTAGCCGTGGCTCAGCTATGAAAGAGACGCATGGAAATTAGGCAAAGGAAATGGCTGCTCTAGAAAGTGCAAAGTTGGGCTGAGATTAACTCTGAACATGTATTCTGTTCACTCCAAAAACGCCCACGTTTTACAATATGTGAAATGCTACACACGCCATAATTCCGATTTCTTTGAGGAACTGAGGTCGGGACCACAGAAACAGGCGCGCCGGGAACAGCCCCGGGGGCCGCGGGGGCCGCTGCTCTCCTCGCCCGGGGGTGTGGCGGCCCCAGGCTGGGAAGGCACCTGCTGTGTGTGTGAGAGAGAGAAGTGCCCCAAGCGCTTCCCCTCCTGCCTTCTCGGCTTTCGGGCTGCAGCCCGCGCCACTGGCCCCGAGGTGTACTTCTAAGAGTCTCCACAGGGTGGCAGCGCCCACCGCCAAGAAAACGGCCCTGGCCTGCCCCTGCCCGGGTCCCTTCCAACCAGGTCCTGCAAACCAGCGGGGACCGGCTCTCAGCACTCTTACCTACCTGGGTGGGCCACGTGACATCCCTGATAGAGTGCTCAGCCTCAGGGTGGTCACCCTCCGTCCAGGCTGCGCTGGACACACCCAAGGGACACGCAGGCGGCAGCCTCCACCCCGTCCTTGACCTCCCAGGCTCTGCGTCATCCAGGCCACAAGCTTGGCATTGCTCCCCAGCGCCTGGAGGCAGCCCCCTCCCCAGGACACTGGGCAAGTTCCAAAGATTTTCAAGCGACAGACAGCAGAAGCAGCCTGAACGTCAGTGACAGGGCAGCCACCACATGAGGGTATTTCCACCCTGTGAGACATCGGACAGTCATGCAAACTGATCAGCCTTACTTTTCGGTATCTGGTGAAGTGCCTAAGTGGCTAAGGGGGGAAACTAATGCGCCGATCTGTACGCCTTCATACCTGTAGCACACCCTGCTGCGTACGCATGCGCTGATACACGTGGTACTGGAAAGAAATATATTCCCCCAGAATGTACGACTTTCATTACCTGCTTTATTTTTTAGATATTTTCCTACCAAAGCATGCTCTGCTTTTATAATGAGGGAAAGAAGAGTTTTTGTACTTGTTTTTAGACAGAAGAACCGTACGACCTGGAGCCAATTCCAGGAAGAGGATGGGTATGAGCCTCCTTATTCGTAAGACCCTGCACACTGTATGTTCCCAAGGAACTCGTGTCTAACACCGTCTCGGAGCTGGCAGGTTTGGTAGGAATGGCCCAAGGTGGGGTTTTCAGTTGGCTGCCATGGGCCAGAGGTGAGCTGAGGCCGGCGGCCAGGCCCCCAGGTGGGTAGGGCTCTTTCCACCTCATCTGCGCAGGAATGGAGGAGACTGCCCGGCGTGGAGGCCACAGCCCGTTCTCCCTTCTCCCTCGGCGCCCAGCTCACACGGTCTCATCTCCCTGTGCCAGTGGGCCACACGACTCAGCTTAGCCAAGAGGAGCCGGTGAAGGGCTGAGGGACCTTTCCTGTCCAGGCCTGGCCCACAGAGCCCCAGCCCAGGGCCCCTCCACCACCTCCCCTTCCACTACCGGGATGCAAGAGACCCTGTGACTCTGGGACACGTGGGGCCTCAGGAAGGAGGGAGGCTGGGCCCCTGAGGGTGTGGAAGAGAGCCCCTCTCTGAACTGACTGTCCACCTACAGCTGATCGGTGAGCAAGAAATCTACTGTGTTCAGCTGCCACCCTTTGAGAGGCCTGCTACCCCAACCTGCTCTCCCCAATACACAAGGCCCGCACGTTTATTGTACCAAAGGGCAAAACCCTCCCCCTTGGATTTATTCACAGCCTTCGCTAAATACAAAGCTCAGCCTCTTCTGGACAATTGCTAGATACCGGTTTGTTACCCAGAAGAGGCGGCTTCACGGGGGACTAGAAGTCATTAGTGAGAATGGGGAGCATGAAAAATTAATCATAAAAACGAAACCAATGTCTTGAAGGCAGTTTTTTCAAGTTTCACTTTCCATTTTCTGTGAGACCTGAGGATCATATCCTCTCTTTTTAACCAGAGTTAGCAAAGAGGATTTGGGGGGACACCTGAGGAAAGTATCTCCTTAAGACTCAGGAATATCTGTCCTGGCAGATGGCCTCAGAGACCTTCTCACCAGCATCTTCCCCTTCAGGTGAGGAGCCCACAGCCAGATCCACAACTTTGCCAGGGGGCCACAGGGTAGGCATCCTGAGGCCCAGAGGCTGCCTCTCGTGGCCACACAGCCTGTGGCTCCTACGGCACGATTTCCTTGGGGGCAGAGTGGAAAGTGCCATCGCACAGGAAAGCACGACTCTCTGAAATCAGACAGACCTGGGCTCCCACCCCAGCTCCACCACACGGCAGCACGGGGACCTTCCCCTTTCTGAACCTCGCTGCCTCGTTAGAAGGTGGACAGGTAACGAGACCCACATCATTTGGTCATCTGCTCGTTCGTTCAGCATTTAGAGCTGTATCCTACTTGTCAGGCGCCACTCTGGGCCTCGGTGCTCGAGTGGTGAACGGTGAACAAGACGGACAAGACCTCTGGCTTCGTGGTGCCAGCATTTCAGTGGCTTTCTGCTTTTTGTGGAGATTAACTAACACTTGAAAAATTCTAGACAGTGCGCAGTGGTGAGAAAACGGCGGCCCTTCACTGCCATTCTCCGCACCCCCTCACCTGCCTGGCTGCTCCGGATACTTCTGCTTGGTGTAGGCCTCCAGGGTGGCATAGACCTTCTCGCGCAGCGTCTCCACCTCGGCAGGGTTGGACAGACCCTTGGCATCTGAGAAAGGAGCCTGGTTTAGCATCTGGTGACAAACCTCAGGCGGACCCCTTAAACAGAGTCTGTCCCCACTCACTGCCCCAAAAGTCACCAGACGCACGTCAGAAGGGGAACACTGTGAAATACACGAAGCCAGTCCTTTGTGCTTCCCTTTCTGTGCCCAGTCCTCCCAGTAAGCTGTAGGAGCAAACATTCGAAGCTCCAGTAAAAGACCAAGGGGACCTGGGTCAGCACTACTGACTCAAGGGAAGAGCGTCTTGTGTTATACGGGCTGTTCTAGAAGTAATACATCCACACATCACTGCGTGCCTACCATGGGCTGGATGTGGTCTGGATGGCGAGATGGGTATGAAAAACGGATTGACCCATGACCTGCAGCCACTAACTAACCACCTGATTCTGGAGAGGAGGCGCGCGCACGCACGTGATTCTGAGCGCTCGTCTTCCCGGGCCCCCGGGGCACCCCTTCTGGGTCTCTGCCTGCTGCCCACTGCCCTTCCTCAGGCCCCTTTCCTGGCTCTTCCTTTTCTTCCCCACTGCTCCGTGTTGGCATGGCCCCCTGCTCAGCCCTCTGCCCTCCTCTCCGCCTCCCTGTGCACCTCCCAGGTGAGCTCACACCTGTCTTAGAGCCGTGCGTGCCAGGGATAGGCGGGCGGCGCTCAGACGTACATCTCTGGCCCTGGCTTCTCCTCTGAACTCCAGACTCACATAAACAGTTGCTTCATAGGCAGCTACTCTTGAATGTCTAATTATCCAGCTCAGATTTTAATGTCTAAAGACAAAGTCCTGATTTCTATCCCCCCACCCTTAGAACCCCCATCTCAGTTAAGTGAAAATTTCATTTTTCCAATTGTTCAGGAAAACAGAACAAAACCCCCCGAGAATTATATTTAACACCTCTCTTTCTTTTCCACCCTATATATATCCACCAGCAAAACCCACTAGCTTTACCTAAAAATACATGCAGAATCTGACCCTCCTTTGCCACCTCCTTCACCACCACCCTAGGTGACTGGCATCTGCACCACCTGCCCCCAGCAAGTACCCTCTACACCCACAAGACTTTTCAAGATGGCCTGAGGAGCAGGGGCTGAGGACTGACTCCGCCTCCCATCTCCTCTGCCTCTGCGGGCGAGAGCACCTGAGATCCCTGGCACCCTGGAGGCCACCATGGAGGCAGCCTCACTGTGCGGTCACCTGGGTTAAACAGCACGATGGCCCGCAGGCAGCCCAGCTCCGACTTGTCCATCTGCATGTCTTTCATTTTGGAGACCAGCTCAGTCAGGACTCTGTCCAAGTAAACAGGGGCAGGTGATGGGAACATCGTGAGCAGCAGGCCAAGGGCTGATGAATAAATACAACCGATACCGATCACGTACCCACCCCATTTCCCAGATGATGCACCAGGTACTAGGGACACAAAGACGAACAGGATGCAGGCCCTCATCTCAAGGAGCTTACAGTTTAATCAAAGAAACGGATATGGAAACAGCACAGGCGACACAAAGCCAGTAAGCGCCGTGAGCCCAGGGCACAGCAATGCGGAGCAGGGAGCAGGGAGCTCTAAGTGGGGGGGGGGTCTGGAAGGGCCACCTAGGGGATCTGGAAATTAGCAGAAATGCAACAGCAAAGCAAGGTGTGTTGCACATCTAGCGGGACACAGCAGGGCCAGGGATCAGTGACAGGTAGAAATCTCCAGGCATCATGTGAAGGGGTCAGTCCACAGAAGCCATGTCTCCATGGAATACATGGGGAAGGGCAGGGAAGGAGTGGAGACGTCCTGGGTGTGTGTGTGCACACAGCCTGAAGGCCCATCTGTGATGGGGCTGGGAAGGGGTTGTGGGTCCCTGGCCTGGGACAGAGACACCATTTCAACTTTGGGCTCCTCCTTACCAGTTCTCCATCCTCCCCAAGTCACGCGTTCTATTCACTTCATGCGTCTCTGCACATAGCAGAGCTCACCCTCCCTTGAGCATCACTTCAGGGGCAGAATCCCAGGCTGAGGCTGTCGCTGCCTGACTGAGGTGGACCTGTTCCTGCTGCAAACCTGCCCCAGAGATCCTGCTGCAAAGTCCAGCTGGACCTGGACTGCTTGAGTCAGACCCTTACCCCCTGTCCCCACCCCAGCCCTGGAGGACAAGCAGGTCAACCTCCCCAGCTGCTCTTACTGGGTAATATCACTGATCCAGGATTTTCTCTGGAAACCCTAAGGACACCAGGCTCTCCATCTGCCCAGCAACTGTGCTGGTCTCTGACTGGCTCTATCTCACGGTATCAACCTTTCTTTTAATCCCTCTCTCATTTCCCAGGTTTATGTCCTCTTATGCTGAATGGTCTCTGCTTCCTGCCACATGCAGCTGTTTAGGCCACCCAGCCTACGTCCCAGCACCCCACAGGTGCACATGCACATATGCATGCATGTACACACACATGTCCACACACGCACTGGGAGCAGATGAAAGCCACCTGTCAAAGATGGAGCCGACCCCAGCACTGTGGGCACTGCTCCGGTGGACGTGCAAACCCGTGGCCAGGAGGATGCCGTCCTGCACAGAAACTGAGCGGTGGGAGAAGGAGGCGATCAGCAGCTCATTCCACCCTGCAAGGGCAAGAAGGAGGCTTTGAGGGAAAACTGGCCACATTCTAGCTTCACTGATAATCATCCGAGGCAGGTCTGATTATTCCCAGGCAAAAAAACAGAATCAGAAATCCAGGGAGGGTAAAGCTGATTCCAGGCAGCACAGCTACTTGGTGAAGAAACAAAGGACAGGACGGGGACCCCCTTACAGCAGCTCTGCACCCCCAGACTCCTCAGTGCAGCCGGCAGGGCAGCTTGAGCACAGGACGCTCCCCCCACCCTGTCAATCAACAAATATGCGGGCGTCACAGTCACCACGTGAGCCGCACGGTGGCCAAGGTGAGCACACCCTGCCTTCTGCCCCCAGGGCCGGACAACCTAGTTTTGTTCCACTGGCACTGCCCAGCAGCCCAGCGCCGAGCCTTCCACTGCTCCCTGCTTGTTCATCAGCTAACAAGGAGGAAGGGAGGGGACCGGCTCCCAGTCTCAGCCTGTCTTCACGGCCTTTTCCGCTGGCTCAGGACAGAGAACACAGGGCCCGAGTCCGCCGCACGTGTTCCAGAAATGGGAGTCAGGAGCACGTACAGTACATACACTCTCAAAACGCAAGGGACCCTGGTGTCCATCTAGGGTGAGCCTGAGCAAAAATCTCCGGCTTCTCTTGTCTCCCCTGTGAAATGGGAAGATCTGTTTTCCAGTTTCCTAACAATAATGAAACACAGCTTCAGACTGGCCTAGATAAAGATGATTTAGCGTCTTTGGGATGTGCACACGGATGACCAAGCCATGGTAAAATGTCACGGAGAAAGAGTCACTCCTCCATTAACAAACGGTGTTTCATTCGGGAATCCGAGGTTTGGGGATGGCCACCCAAACTTAAGAACCTACAAATATTAGAAAAAAGAGCGAGTTTGAAAGGGTTATCCTGTCACCAAAATGGTTCACAGCCTGGGTGGCTGACGGCCCCATCAGGTTACCCGTTGAGGGTCCCAAGAGTACGTCCAGATGGCAGCCCGCGTGGTTGTGCCACGAAGAAGGAAACTCTGATACCCTTACCTGCCCGGAGCAGAATGACCTGGTCCTCCAGGGTGAGGTCAGAGAAGTGGGGGATGCGCTTGGCCCATTCAACAAGAGTGAAAAGCTGCTTATCGGCCGCATGGCATATATTGGTGACAGGGTCGTTTGTCTAAAAAAGAAACAAGGTAACGTGAGGGGCAGATTCTGGGACTCTGATTCATCCCCCATCCCCACCCTCAGCCCATCCAGGAAGTGGGGGGTGGATGGAGATCTAAGATCACATACCGAGTTGTCCATGTTCATGTCACCGTAGGATTCCGTCTTCGGTTCAACAGCAAGTTCCGCTTCCAGAATCCTCTCCACAGGCATATCTTCGTGGCCACTGATGGCACATTCCACCTCACTCTCGGCACGCTCCCGGCTCCTCTGCCTTTCTTCTTGCACAGCTGGCATGCGGAAGGACATGCAGATGTTACCTTACACCAGGGACAACTGTGGGGAAGTTAGTTACCCACCTAAGCCTCATTTTCCTCATCTGTAAAATGAGCATCCCTGGGCACTGAACAGATGTTGTGATGTTGACAGATGAAGCTTAAGCCTCTGCAGAACTGTGGGTTTCCCAGTCCGCATCCGTCCCCATTCACGACGGTGACCTCTCTGAGAAGTCTGCACGTTAAGGGTCAGTGACCTCTGCCCTCTCCTTTAATGAGCCTTGCTGTCTGTGCAGTTTCCCATGCCCTTCCTCCACCTGCTACCTCTAACCAACTGTGAGAGTGCAAGAGTTAAATAGCAAAGACATCCCGTAAGAACCCCTCTGTCAGATCCTGCGGATCATCCTTGACATTCATGTCCCATTAGGTCTGCCCCTAGTGCGCCAGGCTGAACACATCACCTGATCGGACCCGTCAGGGAAGAGCTTCAGGAAGCCACGTGGGCACTTAGTAAGTGAAGGGGTGGAGGAATGTCACCTAGATGACACTGCAGAGTCGGCAGCTGACTTTGGGGCTGGGGAAGGGTGTACAGGCAGAGGTGTAGGCTGGGATTATCTCAGCCTGCCAAACTAAGGTTTCATCAAAGTTCATTCCAACCCTCAGAGCCTTCTGTACGTTAGGGTGTCAGGCAGACCCTCTCCCCATTTCCACCATCTTCACTGAGAGAACAGTCTCTGTTGGGTTAGTTTCCATGATCTAGAAAGTGATGGTTTCCCTCTTATTCTCAGTAGCAATAAGCGCAATTCAATATTAGCACACATTTTTTTTTTGATCCTGAGAATCAAGAAAATTATACTCTATGCAGGTGGCTGAGCTGGGTCTCAGGACAGCTGCTCCACCTGCACCTTCCCTGCCAGCGTCTCGCCCTCGTCCCCACAGTCTGCTCCCCAAAGCTCTACTCTCCGAGGGGCTGATGAGCCGCGAGGCTGCAGAGGCACGGGACCGGGTGCTGGCCACCTCGTCTGTCACCCCGGAGGCATCAGGGACCTCTCGGGGCAGGACGGGGGATGGTGTGACTGCCAAGAAATGAGCCACACTCCATAGTCTCGGGTAGAGGTACACGGGGAGGCCTCCAGACCAGAGTGGTATTCAGGGGTTGGGGGTCAGGGGGAAGAGGGTAAAGCAGGCAGAGAGAAATAGAGGAGACAGAGGGGAAGGGCACAGAGGGGGAGAAGCACAAGAAAAGCAGAAGTCCTGTGCCCTGGAGTCAAGAAATCTTTTCCCAAACGGATTCTACCACTTTCTGCCTACATGACACCAAGACACGTGACTCAGCCTGCTAAGCCTCCATTCCCTATATGTGAGGCGGGCATTACAGTGCTTGACTGAGGTGGTTCTGTCACGATTACATGGAATAATTATTAAAAGTTCAGAAAAGCGTGGCTGTTTCCCCTTCCTGTTTCTCTCCATGCTCCTGAGCGTCTTCCTCTCTCAGCCCTTCTTTCCGTCCTTCTGTTAGTCTTCGTTCACTGACCACATACTGAAACTGCCACACATATTTTTATTATCAGCTGGATTTAACGGCTAAAGTTGGATGTGTCTTGTATTAAATTTTTAAAGGTAGGTTAATTGGCTCCTATTTGTCTTGATTTTAAAAGATGGGGAAAAGCAAACTAAGTTAAGCCCCTTTTGAGGCCCTCAATTGATTTCTCCCACAGACTTGTAACACTAGAGAAAAATACCCTTCAACTTCAAGAAAATAATCTTGACTTCAGGAAATTTGATTCTAATCCCAACTTTCTCATTAATTAAATGATCCTGTGCTATTCGCTTCTCTTTCTGCCATAAATCTGACTGTCATAAATGAAGAGTTGTACACCTGTGGTTGGAGGAAGTCTAGGTGGCAGACATTCTGAGCTACGACACGCACCAGGGCACATCCAGGGGACGCCGCTGCCCATGAGCAAGCGCCCTCTGGGGTGCGGGGTGGGGGCCTCACCTTCCCGCTTCATGCCCACCACCAGGCACTTCTGGTAGCGGCAGTGCTGACAGCGGTTGCGCTGGCGCTTGTCGATGCGGCAGTCCTTGTTGTCCCGGCACGTGTACACAAGGTCCTTCCGGATGGTCCTCTTGAAGAAGCCCTTGCAGCCTTCACAGCTGTACACGCCATAGTGCTTGCCTGGCCGCGGGAAGGAGCACCCCATGGTGGTCTCTGTGTTAGGGGGCTCTTCCCTTCCCAACTACCCTGTGCTCTCCCCAGGCAGGCGGGCGCATGCTGGGCCCTGGGACAAAGAGCGGAGCGCAGCCCGCGGAGAATGCAGGCTTGAGCGCTAAGCCCACCCAGGCAGAGTAGATCCACCTTCCTGTCTCCCCCTGAAGGCGACCCCTGGAATTGCTGATTCCAGACCCCAGTATTAGGAAAGTCCTGGCCTAAGGTCATGTTTATGTTGACTTTATCAAAGGCAACCCGTGTGTTTAGTTAAGCAAAATGTTCTGCCTTCATTCAAGGCACTAGTGTACATAAGAAATTATAAAAATGTTTATGCATGTTTTCTGTCATCTAGCATGGAAAAAAATCCCACCTTCACTATTTCCCCATAACTGAGGCCCAAAAACTTAGGAAACCCCACTTAAAAGTATTATCCTTCATCCCAAACTATGAATAAGAATCTGAGTTAGGAATTTTTTTAATGCTATTGGCTGGGGAAATTAATTGGCATATGACCTTTATAGCATAATATGACATGCCATCTTGAGTTATGACAAAGATCTGATAGAAAGTGGTTTTGCTTGATCCAGCAACCTGTTACTTATTTCATCACCCTTATTACCTGTGACACAAATTCAGCTTTCAGTGACCCTCTCTATGGAGGTTCATTTGTGTCAGGAGAGCCACCACACCCATTCCCAAACAGACACCAAGAATCAATACCATGTGACCCAGAAATTCCACTTCTGGGAAGAAAACAAAACCTCTGACTTGAAGAGATATGGGCACCCTATGTTTACTGCAGCATTATTTACAATAGCCAAAATATGGAAACACCCAAGTGTCCATCAACAGATGAATAAATGGGTAAAGAAGATGTGGTGTATATATACAGTGGAATATTACTCAGCCATAAAAAAGGAGGAGACCTTGCCATTTGTGACAACATGGATGGACCTAGAGGGTAGTATGTTAAGTGAAATTAGTCAGACAGAGAAAGATAAATAGCATATGATTTCACTGATATGTGGAATCTAAAAAACAAAACAAATGAACAAACAAATAAGCAAAACACAGCCACAGAGAACAGACTGCTGGTTGCCATAAGGGAGCGGGTGGGGGTAGGATGGGTAAAATAGGTGAAGGAGAAAAAAATTAGTGGGAATGTTTGATATCTTGATTGGGGTGATGCTTACATGAGCGTATACACATGTCAAAATTCATTGAGGTGTACACTGAGATTGAGCAGTTTATTGTATGTACCTTAATTGAAAAAAGAATCACAATATTCACTCTAAGTAGAAGTCTTTTCAGTACTACATGCCAGGCACCTATGGTCAATTGGTTGGCATTATGGGACTTGAGGATAGATAAGGAAAACATATAAGGAAATAGATCATTCAAAACATATATATGTGTCTGACTCTTGAGTGTTAATATGTGGTGTTTAGCTATAGACCTGACATGATTTTCCAGTTCATTTGTATTTAGGTTGATAGTAAAGTGAATTTGAAGTCCCTGAGAATTAGCAAATGTAAATATCTGCCTCCCAGGGGCTTATATTTCAGAAGAAGCCACCCTAAGATGAACTAGTGGCTGGAGGTAGCTGCCAGATGAAAAGTCAGTTGGGGCCTAATCAGCCGACTATACTAATTTACTGAACTCACGGCAATAATAAATACAGGATTTTGTCTTGGGCCAAGGAACCTAATGCTCTCAGCTCTGGTGTATTTGTCTTTGAGAAACATGGGACTAATCTGTCATTCCCCTGGCTCTTCCGCTCATGAATGAATCTTCCAGACTTTCAACTAAACCACAGGCAGAGAAAATGCTCCATGGGGGTATGGCTGGCATTCTGTTGCTATGGCAATGGCTAAGTCTGCATAATTCAGCAACACTTTTTGAGAGCAAGCCAGCATCAGTCACGTAGCTAAGTCAGGTTCAGGCGCTGGGGAATTTCAATGGGGTGACATTTTGTGGTGCTTTGGTGGCAGTGAGAAGACAAGGAACTATGTAGTTGGCCATTGTGCACAGCTGCAAAAAAAGAACTGTCCCCATCTTCTCACTCATCAAATGAGAGATTCAAATGTCATCAAAACTGAAGGGATGGGGTGTGGGGGCAGGAATGACGGGAAGGAAGAAAAGGAAGTGGGAAAACGAGAATGCGGACAAACGGGGCAGAAGGTCAAAGATGAGATCGGTGAAAACACTGATTTCCATCCAGGAAGACATGTTAAAAACCTAGACTGTTGTAGAAAGGAATGCACTGAATTATCTGTTGGGGACATTATAGATATGATATTTAGTTTTCTTTGGCACTTTTCTAGTTCTTCACATTTCCTAAGAGGGGACATTATTTTTAGAGTTACAAAAAATAATCTTTTAAAAATTAAAGAGACTTCAGCTTGAGATACTTGTTGATTACAACCATGTATCTATGTCAGATGTACACACAACACAGTAACTCCAGGGAGGGCTTTGCAAAAATGTCCTAAGAAAATGAAATCGTACTTTAAATTCACCAAGAATGCGCTCTGCGCACCCAGTGACAGAGGCGGGCCCCAAGCTGGACATCCCAAAGGGACTTTCTCTTTCACTGGGCATGAAGTAGCCAGCAGGGCAGCAGAGCAGCCACCTTCCCTGGGAACCCTGTTGCATGGGGCACTGAGGAAGGGCATTGGCTTCTGCACGTACCTGAGGATCGGTCCCCACAGATGGCACAGATGTGCTTAACCAGCGATCCGGGACTGGCAGACGGGTAGTTCATGTTTCCAATCCCAGGAAGCCCTGGTAAGGGCTTGATGTCCTCTGAAATGCTGACGCTGTTGACCACATTGAGCTGCAAGAGAAAAAAATACAAAGAGGCACAGAACAGGGGTAAACTGATCCCCAAGCCCAACAGGAGCAAGGGCGTGTTCGAGGAAAAGCAAACGCTATTTCAAGCAGTTTCCAAGTACGGAGTATCTGAAACTACCCAGGGGCATATGAATTTAAGAGGGAAAAAAAGAAGTGGCACAGAGAAATTCATTTCTAGACCCCAAAACCTAAACTGAAAATCATGACACGTCTCCATCAGAGCGCTCTGCTTTTTCTCATTTTGCTCATGTGTTCTCTCTGAGCTGCAAGTCCACACTGGACACACTTAGGACACACGGGAGACAAGTCAGCTGTGTGCTTTACATTTGTTATTAACTGCTGACTGCCTATTGAGCAGTACCTCAGACAGAAGACTCAGACTACAAGGGAACCAAGCAAAAGCATGCAAATCCATTCATTTAGCCAATCAACGGACATTCACCAAGTACTCCCCATGAAGGCAGCGTGTTCCAGCTCTGCAGTGCAAGATAAATAAGAACACCTCGCCTTAAAAGGAGTTCAGCGTGTAGTGGAAGAGGAAATAGGTGCAATGATCACCTCAATGAGCCCACCAGAGATGCTAAACCAAATGCCCAAATCCTTGCACCATAAAGTGGGTTGGAAGCCCCAGATTATGTTTTTGAACTTGACTGTCGGAACAAGTCACCTTCCCGGGAAACTGTGTATGGCCAGAGCCTGCCCGCTTTGCCTTCCCTGCACGCTGCGGTCCCAGCGTGCAGTGGGGGCTGGCGGTGTGCGCCTTGCGTGCATCCCCTCCTCACCCCTCCTCACCAGGTAATGGCAGCTCCCCCCCACCGCCACCTCCGTGTCACCCACTGCTCTAGGGAAGGTTGCTGGGAAGCTGCTGCTAAGTGTTTCGTATTCATCAAAGGAAAGGTAAATAAATATGAGCCAGTCTTCCAATCAGCAGCATTTCGGAGCATTCCTGGGTACAAGTCAACATTCTAGGGACTGTGAAGGGAGCTATAAAATTGAGATCGGCCTCTCATTCCCCAAAAGTGCAGTCTCACTGAAGAGTCAGAACATGCACAGGAATTAAGAACACTTATGAGGAAATTTGAACAAAGGTGGTGTAGAGTCTGCACGTGTTCAAGTGTCCAGTAGAGGCACCTAGTGCATACCTGGGAGTTGACGAGACGGTCCACTGACTGCTCATCATCTACATGAATTCTGAATCATACTGCCTAATCCAAGTGACCGTGATTTGCAAACCAAAAAAAGGTAGGATTTTTTTTTTCTCTGCTCAAGACCTTTGGGACAGAAAGGCTGATCAATAAAACATAAAATACCACAGAGCCTGAGTTTTTAAATTTAAATTCTAAACTTACTAGCTTTTCAATTCACTAAGCAAATATTTCTTGAGCCCAGGAGGTGGGGCAGAGACTGTGTTAAATGCTGTGAGGGCTGCAAAAAAGAAAAGCCTTGGCCTTCAGCTCTTGGCTTTGAAATCAAAGTCACCAGGAAATTTTAAGACTTATTTTGTATTGAGGGATGAAAGCACGTGTGTGATGAGAGGATTCTCTCCACCCCCTCCTTTTCATACAAGGCTGAGACAAGGCCTCTAGAGCTTACATCTACCATGTGGTGTCGCATTGGGGTAATGCAGTGGTTCTCAACCCTGGATGTACAACTGGAAGCTTTGAAAAACACTGGTACTGGGGCTATAGCCACAGGAATTCTAATTCCGTGGGTCTGAGGGCCATTGGCACTAGCATTTCTCTAAGTTTACCAGGAAATGCTAATGTGCAGCCAGAACTAACGGTCACTGGCAGAGTGAAGAACAGCCCCTCGGGAATCACACGCAGAGGGGGACGGACTCCTCGTCCACCCTTGGCTGCAAGACGTCAAAGAAGCTACTTACCTGCTTTGAGCTTCACTTCCCTTGTCTGTCAAAAGAGCATAGTAACACCTAATTTATGAGTCACTGGGAGGACGGGATGAGATAATGCAGTAAAATCCCATCGCAGTACCTGGCACACAGTAGGAACTCCATAAATTGGAACTATTATCATTCCAATAAAATGTGGTTAATTCAGACAATAGTTGTGTTTCTTTTAAGTTTTGAGTATTACATATTCTGCTGTGTGCCGGGAATTTGCAGTAAATGAGGCCATATTCACCAAGAGGGTGAAGAGACCATTGCTTGGTGGAGGGTGTCAGAAAATTATTTGATGTTGTCATAATACTAGGTCATTATCACTTCAAGATATGTGACATATTTAGATGCACATTTTTTATTGATATTTATGAAACAGGTTAAGGGAGTTTCTGTCAGTGGGAACTCCAGCCAAGAACTTCTCCTGAGTGCCTCAAGGAAACAGACACTAGCTCTCTGATCCACACATGAAACGCAGCACGGCCCCGGGGCAAGAGGCCTCCAGCTGACTGTGGCACTGTCCCCATATCCTCAGACGGACAAGAAGGGTGAGGGGAGTCCAGAAGCCACCATCCCTGGCCCATGAGGCCCCCTCCCTCTCGGCCCCTGCACGTGCATCCCCTGCAGGTCCAGCCCCAAGGCCGCCCCTGCGCTAATCATGGAAGGGCAGCCGGCCAGCTACTGCGGGAGTCACCATCCAGAGCTTGATCTGTGCTAAATGCCCTTCTAAACCTCGTAACAACCCTAGGAGGGCTTCCTAGGGCTCAGATGAGGAAACTGAGCCTAAAGTGGTTTATTCATTTGTTCATTCAGAAACAGGGTGGGGCACAAACAGGGAAGAGTACAGGCACCGCCTCAGGGAACCAGCCCATAATGGGATTAAAAATCGAGGTGGGATAGTTTAGGAAGGAAAGAAGCAAGCAACTGAGATTAGGGAAGACTTCCTGGAGGAGGCAGCATTTGGGCTGGGACTTGACAGCCTTCAAATATGGGTACAATTAGGAGAGGCTGGTAACGAGCAAAAGGCTATGAGAGAAAAGGCCGGAGGGGAGCCCTGGGGTCTGTGTCCCTCAGTCCATCGGTGGGGACAGACAGGAGACGAGGCTGGGGCAGAACTGAGGCCCCACTGCCTGTGGGGAGGCCTTTCCTCCAAGAGGAGATGAGGAGGGATGCTGCCCTCCGCAAGGGTGATGCGATGGCAGCTGGAGGGGGCCTGGAGGAGAGACACCCAGGCTGCTGCCCGCGCCCCACCGCCAGGTGAGTGCCTCCCGTGGCTAACAGGTGGGAGCCGGCACCCAGCTCCAGGACCCCAGTCCTCTTTCCAGCTGGGCCACCCTGTCTGTCTTGGGGGAGCAGGAGACCCCAGACTGCCCCTGCCCAAGCAGCTTCCTGCCCCACCAACCTGGTGAGGAGCCCCTGCAGGAGCTGCTGCCTGGGGGCCTCTCCCAGGTCTGAGCCAGCAGCCCCCCTCATCTCTCTCCTCTTCGTGAGGCTGGAAGACAGGGGGAGGGAGCAGGCCAGGTGGGCCTCGGCTGCCTTGGGCTCCTGTGGGCTCCAGGCAAGGGCAGATGCCACCTCAGGCAGCCCTGGGAGCTGCCTGGCCCCTAAGGCCCCCGGCCCTGGCTGTCTGGCTGCATTAGAAGCGTCTCTGCTGAAGTGAGTATGTCAGGCGGGGGCTCTCGGGCGGCTGGCTGCTCCCTGAGAACACACAGAAACACACTCGCTGGCCCGTCTTCCGCCCGTGGACTCTCAGCCTGGACGGGATACACCCTGGGGGCCCTTGAGCCACCACGGAACATCAGGTCCCACATTTCTGAGCTCTCAACCCCAATCATTCCACTGAAGGCAGCTCCGTGCGTGGTCGGCCAGGCCTCCTTCCCAGGGGCGGGCTCCTCAGGCCGGCACTCCCTTCACCCCATGAGGGTCTTGGCCATGAGGAGCAAGGCACCTGGCCCTCCATGGGCAGGAGAGCACTGGCCTCCTGTCTGGGCCTGACACCTGCCCGCCGAGGGTTCTGTCTGGGTTCAGTGAGACTCCCCCTCCTCGTCCACAGACCAGCCCAGTGGTTTTCAGACTCTGAGAGGGTGGGGGGCAGGACAGTGGGGGGCTTGAATAAAGCCTTACATCTCTCGCCCCTACTTCAACCAGACCTGCTATCATCGACCCATATATTAGGCTCCCAAACACACTTTCGCTCAAATAAAAGACTTTATGGATTAATTTTTTTTAATTATTAATCAAGATGATCTTTAAAGTATGTTCTAGCTGTAACATTTGCAACTTTTATAATCTAATCTAAGTATTCTCTATAAAAGTGCAAACACCTAACAGGATAATAACTCGGTCACCCGTCAAGACCTGGGCAGGAATTATCAGGGACAGAGCCCAGTCGGCAGCAGTGTTCAGGAGGGAGAGAGAGAGAGGTGGGGAACCAAAGGCATTAGGGCCTGCGGCGGAGTCCAGCAGCCGTCACCATTCTCACAGCGTGCAGCTTTACAACACACATGCATGCACAGACACACACATGCTCACACGCACACACACACATACACACAAACACGCACATGCACAGGAAAATGTCGCCTAGATCATTTCGTTTGAATGACAAATACCTTCCCAATTATGTATTTGCTGTTTTTGGAAATTGCCCATTCTGCTTAGATATTCCCCAGAGCAAGAACTGAGTCTTACACATTTCTTTTTATCTCCTGTGCCTAGTTCAATGAATGCTTATTGAAATGAACTTTTCTAGAATCTTTCAGCAGTGCAGCATAGCTGAATCATATACCTGATCGTGTAGGTGTGTAATATATTTCACCTAGGTGTGTCATCTAGCATCTAGGTATAATAATTAATAATAATGATATCACCTACTGCCAGAAAGCATTGCAAACACTGAGTAAGTGCTTTTTCATGCCCATATCTCCTTTGGTATTTGTAAAAACCTCATAAGGCAATTGGGAAAGATTTGTTACCCCAGAATATACAAAAAGGAACTGAGCTGGACATAGTTAAAGCAGTCTGGAAAGGTTGCATGTGCCCCATGTACCCGTTCAGATCTCTTTATTCCCCAAGACTGGAATTCCAACAAGAGCCAAAAGGGAAGCCCAAACACTGAAATGACTGCACCTGGGACAGGAGCCCCGCTGCCCTCACGCCAGAGCACCACTCCCCCCCCCACCCCCCAACTGCGCTTACCCTAGACCAGGTCATGGAAGGAGCATGTTTCCCATACCAGCACCCCCAGACGTGATCCTGGGCAACACCTAAGAATAGTCAGGCAGGATGCATAGGAATAGCCCATCCAGGTTGGGCAGAGCCCAGCTCCCTGCGGCTTGCACCAAGGGCACTGGATGTCCCGTGGCATCTGGTTAACTAGGTGAAGTGCTGCTACGAGGTGTTCCAGAGCCCAAGCCAACAGGCTGCTCTGTGTCTGGGCTGCTGAGCTTCCCCGGCGCTTGGCAAGCTTAATATAGCTCCCACGGCTGGGCTTGGCGTGGCCTCTGCACGCAGCCCAGCTGGCCAGGACCAAAGCTTTCAGCTGACCTTTCAACCTCAATCCCTCTGTGCAGACATGCGGTCCGGGGACAGCGGCCCTGCCACTCACACAGCTACGAGGCTGAATGACTGGGCGGGTTGGCCCAGACTGGAGGATGGCTGCTGAAAGGCTTGGGGGGACGGTACGCCGCCCACTCCCACCCACGAGCCCTGGCACTGTCTAGCACCCCACCTCCTTTTATTTCTTCAGAGGTAGAGTGATTGCCTTTGAAACTATCTTGTTCATTTGTATGGTTTTGTCCATTTTGCCTGCTACACTGTAATTACCATCCAAGTAAAGACTTTACCCACCATTTCCAGTGCTTATGCCCAGAACCTAGGACAGTGTCAGAAACTGCCGGGTACATAGTAGGTCCTCATCAAAAGGGCATACATGTAAATGCCCTTGCAAAATTTTACTTTCATCCCAGAATTTCAATGTATCTTTTCTCTCCCTAAACTACTGGCTTTGGCCTGCCTTTCTAGAATCGGTTCACCTGAAAGCAATGGGTGGGCAAACCTCTTCACCACATTCCGAATGGCAGGGTGCCACCGCTCTGCTGATTTGGGTGGGTGGCAGTGGCGTACACACCTGTCCCTGCCCACCGCCGTCTGGCCCCTGCTCCTCTGAGCATTTGCACACCCTCCTGGAACACGTGACCCAACAGATCACCTCTCTGTGTTCCCTTCGGTCCTGCCTAACCTGTGACAGCATGTAAAGCACAGAATTGCGGTTTATCTGCGTGATGTGCGTCGTCCCCCACAAGGCTCCTTAGGACACTGATTATTCATCTTTTAGTCCTGGGGAGACCCTGGGGTCCCTGATTATGTCAGCAGGCACCACAGCAGCAGGTGGGTGCAGGCTTTGAGCACGTGGGGTGGTCAGGAGACGCAGGGTGTCAGCCCAGCTCTGTTGCTGACTGGCTGGGTGAGGCTGCGCACACCAGCCGGCCTACTGGGCCAAGCTACTGCATTTGTGGGGCACAGGACTTGGATAGAATGCTTGGTTCTCAGCTGGGCAGGGATGGAGCAAGTAGAACCGGGGGCTTTTACAACCTGCACGTGGGCCAAACTGTGGGCTAGGGGAGAAATGTATACTCAGAAAAAGATCCTACAGGTGAGAACCAGCATGTTACAAACTTGTGCTAAAGGGCTGGCCGAATGTGACCTGCAGAAGTACTTTGCTTGGCCTGTGAGGTGCTGAAAGTGTCTGAATTTGAATGGCTCCAAGGGAAGCAGCAGCCCCAGAGAGCCCCGCAGCCCTACTGGCCTGTAAGCACCCTCATTCGGTCCCCCGCAGTAGCTGCTTGGCCCCCAGCTCCTATGACTTCCCGTGGCTCCTAGAGCCCATAAGCCCTGCACGGCATGCTCTCTACAGCCTCCCCTGCTCCTCTAGCCCTGGACAGATACTTGCTGAAGTCCCTACTGACTCTGAAATTCCATGACCCCACACGGCTTTGCTTCCAGACCCTGAGCACATGAGTCGTCTCGGGAGGGTCTCTAGGGATGCTCTCTGAAGTTCTACATAGTAGCCAGAAATATGGACACAATGGGAGTCGTGCCTCTTCTCCAAAATGGTAAATTCAAAGGAGGCTTCAGGACCTACGAATTCGGCTTCTAGGTATGCTGGTGGTTGGGGTGGGAGGGAGCCGTGCCCAGTACTGAGACACCCGTATGGCGACAGAGGAGGGTGTGGTAGGCGGTGGGGATTACTGTTCCTCGTTCTAACGCTCCATATCCCCTGCACCATGTCTTTGCATCCCTCCCACTAGAACAAGCACTGCCTATTTCCCCACCCCAGCAATGTCAGGGTTGGCCATCTGGTTTTCTTGTGCCAATGGGGTATCAGTGGGCATGATGTGAGGAGAGGCTTCACTGTACTTTCCAGATCTGGTTTAGACTTTTGCACACCTTAGCAGATGCCCTGTGAAAAGCATGCCCCAAGCAGCTGCCACTCCTTTAGTCTGGGACATGAGGAGTCCTTTAGTCTGGGACACCCAGCCTGTAACAACCTTGCCCAGCTCAGCCACCATCTGAAGCACAGCCATCCTAGCCAACACTTAACGTGTGAGCGAGGAAAAAAATGTGTGTGTGTTTATGTAAGCCATGACAATTTGGGGTCATTTGTTACACAGCATCATTACAGTGATAACTGATCACTACAAGAGGGAAGGTTGAGGCTCTCTGTGTGACATCGCTGGGAGGAAGTAAAAGGCAGCTGGCCATCCTGTAAATTCCCTGGACTAGCAATGCCATGTTCACCACGCACACGCTTCCTCTCCTCTTCTGTACCGAAAGGCACTAGGAATTACAGTGAGGTTTTCTTCTGAGTTTTCCCAGGCTTCACCTGTACCTCGGAGACACCATGTATACAACACAATCGACCCTGTTCTAGATTTGTCTACATGCCATACCTGCCTCTTTCCCCTCTCAACTCTAAGCCCCTGGAGAGCCAAGCCCGTGTTCTGATCATGTCAGTGTCCCCTGGAGCATGCAGCACAGCATCGAGCACTTGACTTGATACACACTCTTTACGGACTTGAGGACAAAGGGTGTGTGCCCCATGGACGGAAACCAGCCCTCAGACATGAGATTCCTGCCAGGGCTGAACCTTGCAGCCACAGAAGTGGCTCCTTTTTGGCCACAGTCTCTTGGACCACGAGGTGTCGTCCCTTCCCCAGGGCATCCCTGCCTGAGGACACCCTGCAGGAAGGCTCTGTAGGAGGGAAGACTGCAGAGACAGCCCACACCCTGCAGCAGGCACCCAGCAAACACCTGCTGTGAGCTGGCTCAGCCCCAGGTGCAGCCTGGGAGAATGTTCCTACGGCTGGAGAGTCTTGGGAGAGGACGGGGCACCCACCTGAGAGCTGGGCGGGGCGACCAAGTTGATTCCTGTGGGGGCCGCCAGCGCTCCTGAGGGCGGGCCCACAGCAGGAGTGATGACTCGGTACGTGGAGCCCAGGGCACTGAGGGGCGTCCCCACTGCACTCAGAGTCCGCGGGGCGCTCACTGGGCTGTCCATGTAGCCGGGGCGGCTGTCCGTAGGCTTCCCCGTGGACAGGGCTGCCGACGGGCTCATGGACGTGGAGCCGGAGTGGCCGGGGGAGCCTGTGAGGACAAGAAGAATGTAAGTGATGGGAAGCCGGGGGCCACAGAGGTGGCATCCGTCTCCTGTCCCCTCCCCTCCTTCCAGCCCACTGCATGCCTGTGAACCCACAGTGCTTACACGGCCCTGAGCTGTGGAATAAAGGCAGGCAGAGGGCAGGGAGGAGGGAAGGCCTGCTCTAGGATGGAAACACTGACGTAATTCTCTGGTGCCCGACCTCACGTCCACCTCGGACTGCATCCGGTCAGCAGGCAGGGCTGCAGGGGCATGGCCGACAAGCCACAAGGCCCTGCCACCCTCCTTTTCATTCTGCTGTACGTGGACCTCAGAGAGACCGTGCCTTTCCTTTCTGTACCCCAGGGTCAAGCCCAGTGCCCGGCACCTGGCCCAGAGCTATGGGACAGACAGACACCAGGTGCTGCCTCACATGTTCAGGGACCCAAGAGGTCCCAAGGTGTAGACCCTGTAACGTGATGATGGATATTTGGGGCAGCATTTTAAGTGGTATATAGGCAAACTTGAAAAATATTAATAGTTTTATATTTATTTTTACTGTTTCTTCTGTTCTATGACAGGGCTGCCATTTTTATATGAAATTATTTTCCTAAAAATAGCTATTTAATGGCTAAAACTTTAAAAAGAATTATGAGAATGCTGCTTCTAGAAGAATGGAGCTGTCACACATTTTATTTCAGCCATTATGATAGGTGTGTACTAATATCTCACTGTGGTTTTTATCCGCATTTCTTTAATAGCTAATGATGTTGAATATAAAAAAATAGCTATTTAGGTTTTCAAAAAGTGAGCAAGTTGACATAGGAACACATTCAAGTCCAAGGACATTTGAGATGTAGAATATCATGAAAATCGTATACAAAAGAATGATGTTTAAGAGAAACACTGACCTGCACAAAAATATGTATATACGGACCTTGGAGAACTCGCAGATTGTCTCAAGAATAAAATGAGGTGATGTGAGAGAGATCTGAGATTAAAAGTACACTGTTTTTATTAATAATAAGTATTATTAATAATTATTTGTAATACATAATTCTATTGATAAATAATTATTAATAATAATAAAAACTAAGACAATAAAAATACACCCTGACTATTCAGTGATGAGAATGGTACATAGCTGAGACAGAATAAATTAGCAAGTTAAAGTTCAGTTTGCGGTGGCCTTAAAAATGTGGCTTCATTCTGCTGAGCCAGTGACCCCGCAGAGGTGGGCTGCTTTATAACCACGTTTTTAAAAAGTAAAATTCAAAAAGCCAAATACATCTTACACGAAGGCATTTTGCTGCTTTGCCTCCCACAACAACCCAGTGGTTCTTAGAAATCAATAACTTTGCTTTTAGAAAAAGTGGAAACAATGCCTTTAACAACAGAAGTGCTTCTCGGTGGCCCTTGAACCCGTCCTGGTGGACAGGAAAGCAAACCCGTCCGCGGCATTTTTACCAGCCACTTGCCTTCTCGTTCCTGTTTTTCAGAGCCACACAGGAACCACAGCCAGTACCAGAAGGCACCCCAAGTTTTCCAGAGACCTGGTTTCTAGTCCAAATCCAGGGCCAGGTTTTCCCATAATGCTCCCCTCTGGCCCCTTCTGCCCAGTGTCCCCTGGCCCCCACGTCTGGTCAGCCTTGCTGGCCCCTGACCCTCCCACCTCTGCCTCCTCTTTAGCCGCACACACTGTGCCCACTGCCAAGCACCAGGGAAATGCACAAATCCTGTCCTTGCGGAGTTCATGCTCTCTGCTCAGACAACGATCTATATAAAAACTAATTTTTCTGGTGGGAAAGAGCCAGTGGAGCTCTCTTGTCTCAGGCGCGTCTCTTCTGTCCATGCCTAAGAAAAGCCTTTCCTGTTGCTGGGCCTCTCCCAGCAAGGAGCCACTGCCTGGGGGCCTCTCAGATCCCTCCCATGCTGTTCTGTGAGCACCGAGGAAGGATATGGGCCACTGGCGTCTCAGGGAGGGAAGTGCAGGGGGCAGTGGTCTGGAATGGTCTGAGTCTGGACCACTTGCCGAGCGGCCCCTGCATCACCACCCGGACCATGCTCGACCTGCAGACTGCTTGGGATTCCAGACTGCAGTTGGTGAGGCTGCAGCCGAAGCTGTTAGGGAATGTGCAGGGTGCGTGCACTGCGATGAAAGAGTCCCTGTGTGCATTTGGCATGACCATGTCAGGGGTGCAGCCTGTGCAGCACAGAACACTCTGAAGCCAAAAAAGTACGTTGGATTTGAGGCTCCACCACTTACCCGGCATGTAAACCTGAGCAAGAACCCTGACCTCTGAGCCCAGGTCCTGGAGATACATGTGCCTACCTTGGGGGCCTGCTGAGAGTGCCTGAGAACACCCACCCCAGGTAGCAGCGGCAATTATTCACTATATTGTAATAGTCGTGAGGGAGGGGCTGTGTCTGGCTTGAATGCCACTGTAGAAGATTATGTGCATAAAGGGTTTAGCCCAAGTCAGGCCACCAGTAAATGCTCTGTGCAGGACAGCCATCATCATACACTGGTAATGACATACCGGTTGTTTATAACTGAATTTTCTGAATTGGTTAAATAGCCAGTGCTTTGAGCCCAGGGTACCTCTCTATCATCCCAGCCACCACCCCCTTCATCCAGGATCCCCCAGGTCTCCCCATACTCCAGCCTGGCACAAGGATGTCCTCTGGCTGACTTCCACCCTGAGACCCCGGTGCCTTCCTGGTTGCTCCATGCTTTTAATTTCACTCCCTTGCTGTTAACAGTGATCATTGTGGTGCCCAGCACTGGGCCTGGAACATGGTAGATGCTAAAAAAAAATTTGTTGACTAATCAATGAATGGGATAATTAATGTATATGACTATATAAAGAGTTCATCAATAGAAATCGTTTACATAAGAATCTATATATATCTCTGATGTTCACCAAAACCAAAATCTGAAAACTGAGTAACAATTGCATGTGTGTGTTGAGGAGGCCTTACTGAGAAAGAGAAGCCTGGGTACCTACAGCTGCAGAATTCTTACCAAGGTGAGGAAGTTGCTTAGCAACCTCAGCCTCAGTCAATAGAAGGAATATGTCAAGCGTGAGTCCATGACGCTAGACAAGAGAGCAAATACTGTGGTGGTTCCCCCTCTGGGCTGCTCTGCAGAGTAGTTCGCTGTCCCATCAGCAGCCTGCTTCAGGATGGAATGGAAACTTGTTAATAAACCACTGATCGTGGCTAATACCCACCCGCAGGGAAGGCAGGGAAGGCAGGGAAGGCAGGGACTTGCTATTTCTAAGACCAGGACTCTGTCAGGATCAAGGAGTGCCACAGGGCCCAAGCCCACTTACTCCCTTCCACGCTGGGCACGGTCACACACCTGCCTGCCTCGCCCTCTCCGGGGGAGGGATGTGGTGCCTAAGAACCAGACTGTTCAGACACCTGGCTTGTTCACCCTCGTCTAAGGGACACTCACAGGTGCTCCCTCTCGGCTCTGAGGGGCAGACAGCTGCCAGGCCAGGGAGGCAGAGGCCTGCCGCGTGAAGGCATGTGAGTCCACACTTCGGTGTTGTGTCCTCTGCTGAGCGACAACAGAAACAGATCATCTCTACTGAGCAATGCCCGTGAGCCAGACATGGTTCTAAACACTTCACATACACGGTCCCCTTCATCTCCACAGACCTCTTTGAGGCTGGTACCCTTCCTCCTCTCGTAGGAATGCAAATGCTGGAAGACGGAGAAATGGAAGAACCTGCCCAGGGAGCAGGGCTAGGAGGCCAGAGCTGGCAGGGGCCTGAGAACCCAGCGGAAAGCGGCAGGGGGGGCAACTCCTCCCAGCGCTCCTGCGACTGCGTGTCCTTCCGCCCCCCCAGCCCAGGTACTGGCCCCGCCCCCGCCCTTCCCAGCCCAGCTCGTGGCCTCTCAGGACTCGGGCCCCCGCGCTTCCTGCCCAGGACACCGCTCATCCTGCCACAGCGTCAAGCCCAGCCCTGGCTCCCTCAGCGGGCGCCCTGCCGGCCGGGTCCCCTCCCTCCGTCTCCCGTTGAAGGGCACTGGGATGCAGGGGTTGCTGATAGCACTGCTCATGTTTGCACTCGGCATTTCCAAAAGCACTTTCTTACAGACCCCTGAGCTGCACAGCCACCCAGAGACTGGGCGGGGAGGCACCTCACAGACACCGGGCTCTGCATGTTCACTCGCGGAGACACCGTGGTAGCAGGCGCGGAGTCCCCAGGCAGCCAGGGGCAGGAGCAGCAGGGGACGCATCTCTTAACGGGAAGCCTGCTGGGCTAGCAAAGCGCTCGCTGGCCTTCTCAATGGAGGAGTAAGGAACCGATGGAGGTGGGGGCCAGCGCATGGAGAGACCCCCGCAGGTAGGTATACGGGTACATGGAGACATGACAGGGCTGAGGCTGCCCACCCCCCGGCCCCTAGCCTGCCAGCCTGTGCAGGGCAGCCCCGCCTGACTACTGTGCCCCTGAAGGAGGGCTGGCTGGCAGATCAGGGGGCTGCGGGCTGCTTTTCCTAGTGCTCTGGCACCGGGGGAGGGAGGGAGTGGCACCCCTTCCGCACCCCCTCCTGCACCTCCCGCTCCATCCCCATCCCCTTCCGCCCGGCTCCCTCCCCTAAAATCTGTAATGATGGAGGTAGTGAAAGGCAGGCAAAGATTGATAATAAGCCTCGTTATCACCAGCATTATATATAATTATAGCAAAACCTCACTCATTTGGATCAATTGAGAGAAAAATCGGTTTAAATTCCTGACAAGTTGGCAGATTACTTTTAAATTACAGTTTTATTACTTCTAAGTAACACACGTGGAGAGAGTGTGTTTCAAGTACCACAGCTAATGGTTATTAAGTGGGGATTTTATAAAATCTGCTTTCAAAGATTCCTTTGTAATTAACACCCCGTTAATATGCTAACGATGCTCCCACTATGCTTTTTAAATTGCTTGAAAACAGATGTAACTTAAAATAGGCTCAACATTTCCACAATCTTATTTGCCTCACAAACCTGTTTT